CGTGCGGGACCTAACCATAGTATCGATTCGGTTGGAAAAGGCCTCTGACATCATGGAGCCCAGCCTGGACCGAACAGCGCCGTGTAAAAGAGACCCTGGCACTGACAACCAAGTGCAGTCTTTCCTTAAACAGCCCTAGGGACGACGAGAACACCACCTCCTTAGGCAGCACATTCCAATGTTTGTTTAATCATCTTTGGTGTCGAGAAATTTCTCCTAATGTCCAACCCCAACAACCCCTGGCACAGCTTGAGGCGATATCTTGTGGTTCTGGGTGTAAGAAATGTAAGAACTTTAACTAGAATTGTGTCATAAATAGGTTGTCTTTGAATCTTGTCCCTTAGATATTCTCACTGGAAGGTCAAACGATACCTTGTGGCGGTATCAGCACACTTGTGCTGTCACTTGCTACCTGTGGGAAGAACCAGAGCCCCGGGCTGCAGCCTCCTCCCAGGGAGCTGTAGAGAGCCATGAGGGCACACCCGAGCCTCCTTCGCTCCCTCGGCTGCGCCTCACGGGACTTGTGCTCCGGACCCTTCCCCAGCTCCATTGTCCTTCTCTGGACTCGCTCCAGCTCCTGAGTTGAGGGGCTCAGAACTGGACACAGCACTCAAGGTGTGGCCTCACCAGTGCCGAGAGGGACAATCACTGCCCTGGTCCCGCTGGCCACACCATTTCTGACGCAGGCCAGGATGCCACTTGTCTTCTTGGCCACCTGGGTACATGCTGGCTTATGTTGAGGTCCCTTCTTTTGTCTTTAAGGTCCCTTCCAACCCAAACCATTTTGTGATTCTGTTAAGAGTCATGGGAGAAAACCAAGTCACCCACTTGAAGGATGCCCAGGGTGACACTGCTGGGCCTTTATATAGAGAGCTTGCCAGGAATTATTGGCCAGGCCTAGAAAGAAATGAAGCCATTTGAAATCCTTTCTAGATGTCCCTTAGACAGTTTTTGTACCTTTCTTGGAAATGAAGGACATGTGCTTTGACCATGATTTCCACTTAATCACCACCTGCACGTGGAATTGTCATTTGTATTCCTGGGGAGTCTCTGTGGGATTTACACTGAATGCTATAAATTCCTGGCTTGAAAAAACAAGCCCCTCCTGTGCAGTGAGGTATTCATTCAAACCATTTGGTCCCTTGCCAAAGCCAGCAGATCCTGACATCAAATGAGAGAGATGGACCTCTGAAACTGAAGAGGAGTTGCTTTTCTTATGATGGAATTAAGAAGTAAGTGTGAGTAGAAAATTTCAGAGGGAAATCATGCAGCTGTGGCTATAAGCTGGAAGAATGCTCTTTTCAACATAAGTTTGAATGGATGCAATTTGGACAACATTCTCTCAAACTGAGGAAAAGTTTCTTACAATAGTTGAGACCAAAATGATAAGAGATTTTCCCATGTGGATTAACACGAAAGGCCCAAATGTTAATGATGTCATGCAGAAAGAATGGCAAGATACATCAGCAAGGGCAAATCGTGCCTGACAAACTTGGTGGCCTCCTATAACAGGGTCACAGCATTGGTGGATGAGGGATGAGCGACTGACAGCATCTCCTTGGACTTGTGCAAAGCATTTGACAAGGTCCTGCATGGCATCCATGTCTCTAAACTAGAGATGTATTTGATGGGTGAACCACTTGGTGAATCAGGAACTAAGGAATTGGCTGGATGATTGCACTCAAAGAGTTCTGGTCAAGAGCTCAATGTGAGCTCCATAGAACAGTGACAAGTGGTGTTCCTCAGGGGTGAGTCTTGGGACCAGCATTGTTTAATGTGGTGGCATGGACAGTGGGATCAAGTGCACCCTCAGCACTGTCCACTCCAAGCTCTGTGGTGTGGTCAGCACGGTGGAAGAAAGGGATGCCATCCAGAGGGACCTGGACCTGGACAGTCTTGAGAGGTTGGGCTGTGCAAACCTCATGAAGTTCAGCAAGGCCAAGTGCCAGATCCTGCACCTGGGCTCAGGCAGTCCCAAACACAAACACAGGCTGGGCAGGGAACAAGAAGGGACACTTGGAGCTGCTGATGGACAAGAAGCTCCACATGAGGCAGCAATGTGTGTTCACAGCCCAGAAAACCAACCACATCCCAGCCTACATCAAAAGCAGAATAGCCAGCAGGTCGAGGGAGACAATTTTGCCCTTCAACTCCACTCTGGTGAGACCTCACCTAGAGTGCTGTGTCCAGCTCTGGAGCCTTAGCAGAAGAGAGACATGGACCGATTGCAGTGAGCCCAGAGGCCCACAAAGACTATTAGAGAGCTGGAACACCTCCTTATCTCCTTTGGAGAGAAGTTGGGGTTGTTCAGCCTAGAGAAGAGTCCAAGAAGGCCTTACAGTGCTTAAAGGGGGCTTACAATAAATCTGGAGAGGGACTTTTTACATATAGTGACAGAATGGGGTAATGGCTTTAAAATGAAAAATGGCAGGTTTAAATTAGATATGAGAAAGAAATTCTTTGCTGAACTTGTCCTCATGAAAAGGACAATACAAAAGTAATTTAAATAAAAGCATGGCAGGTTTCAGGGCTACTGGCATCACAGATAAGATATGAGTAATTTTCCTTTAATAATCAGTCTTGTGGAAACAGAATATTTTGGTGGATGGAACTAGGTCTGTAAATAGAAAAATCGTGATTGCTGTTTTCAATAGCTTCCTTCATGGCTGGCCAGGTCATTAAATTCTTTTCTGTGTGGCCAGTTTCCCCATGTGCCTGGGATACTGCTGGCTAGGCATCTTTGTGTTATAGTTAAGATGCTAAATGAAGTGCTAATTGTTATCATCCTTTGATGTCATTACTGTGGAATATACAGCCAATTCCTTATTGTTCTGTGTAAAGGGCAGTTCAGGACTGTGCAAATAAGAGATAAAAAAAGGATGGAGAATACATTAGAGCAAAAGGCCTGGAAGGAGAGCAGAGACAAACTGCTCCATTAGGTCAGTGCACAGAGTGGCTTCCTGTCATACCAGTTTCTGAATGGATTATAGGGCTGAGTGTGGTTTGGACTGGAGTGGACCCTGTGCATCCAAATGCAGGAAAGTAAATAAACCTTCCAAAAACAAGAAGGCAAATACAGAGATACAGAGACAACAGCAGTCCACCCCCTCCCTGGGGTTCTGACACCTACTCCAGTTATCTTTGGGACACAAATATTAGGATTGTTCACTCAAAAGGTGTCACAGCTATTGAACTAGAATCTTCAGTCCTTTTGTTTTTCCCCTCTCCAAAATACTGTAGAGCCAGCAACAGTTCACACTTCTCTGTTGTGTCCATAAAACAGATCACTTTTTGAAGAGTGAAGGAAGACATTATTGCTAAATCATTTCTTGCTTGTGCTTTACCAGAATTGAAAGTAAAATTTACTTCCGACCTTAGTGAGAGAAAATTTAGTCAGTGAATCCTTGGCTTTTCCACAAAGAGTACCAGCTGTATTACTCAGGACTGTAGTTTCTGCGGTGTGGACTGACGCCAACTAAGAACATGACTGTGACAATCAAGTGATTTTGCATACGCCGCAAAAAATCTTTAGATAATCATCATTTGGATCAAATTAGAATCAAAAATCTACTGGAAAAAGATCACATGGGATATCAGCAATCCCCTGAGGCAGATGTAGTCCCAAATAGTTTAATATAAAATCTACCTGTCACAGAAGAAACAGAAAGTAAACAATGCTATGTGCCACATATGAAAATGCATACATTTGGGCTCATCCGCCCCTTTCTGTGCCAGAAATTAACTGATCAAATACCCTCTTGTCACAGCTGTGTCTACATTAACCAACGGTCTTGTGGAACAAAGATACGGTGGCACAACAAGATTTTTTGACAGAATTGGAATGGCAGCTCTACAAAAAAATGAGGATGAATCAAGAATTCCTAAATGGAAAAAGTCAAAATTAGTAGGGAGAAGAAAAATATCTTTGTACTTCCAAAAGAGCAGTATAAACAAAGGAGAAAAAAGAAAATTTCAAATTACAATAAATGGAATAGACAGGGATTTCACAAGCCTTTGTTGATTTTATGCAAGTTTCTGAAATAGAAGAATTTTTAAAAAAAAGTGATTTCTTAAGTTTTATTTGACTTGTAAAGAGACAGATTCGGGTGTATTGAATACACATGAAATAGTGAAAGAAATGTGCAAATGATCTAGTGTTTGGTTCTATCATTAATTATACTGTTAAAAAAAAGAGCTATTTCCCAAGTTCCCAACTTGCAGTCAAGACATGGCTAATGTATTCAAGCCCAAGAAGCAGAAAACAAACCAGGTTTCAGAGCTGTGACATTAAAATTCGTGTGACACTTTGTTTTCTGGATTTTGGTTCTGCATTGTTTTCCCTCTGAAGTCCTCCGAGTTTGGAGGATCTATCTGAAACAAATACACTGTTAATTTTAGCAACAGGAGACCCTTGGTTAGATAAATTGGGCTTTTCAACAAATAGAACTCTTGTGTCATTCTTCTCTAGAAGTTTAACTTAGGCAAGTGTAACTTCATTGCTCATTGCTATTATGTTCTACATTATCATCTGATTTCTTAGAAAAAAAACAAAACCACACCCACAAGAAGCACCTCCTTCCAGCCCTGTTCCTTGCTCAAAGCCCTTTAAACGATGCCAAGATTCTTCTGTCTTTTGTGGTTTTAAATGTTATGTAGCTTGTCTGCAATGGAAATAAAGTCATCAAAGAAACATTTTTATACTCTTCCTTTACTCCTCTGTATTTGAGTAGAGGTGCCTTACTCTGAGAAAGTTTTCTCATTCCTCATCATTGTTTTTCCAGGAACATGTGAACCACCAACATGAACCACCTTTACAGACAAGAACTCCAATCTAAAATTTAACCAACAGTCAACACATAAAATTGTTACGTGTAATTCAGGCCCATCTCAGCAAGTGACAGCCCACCCAATCATTCCTAGTCTGTGTTCAGTCCCCACATGCATCGAGTACATTTGCCAGTGCTCCCCTCCTTGATATTGGATGCTTATGGATGATTATAATCTAAGTCTGAGCAGAAGATTCACATGGGTAGCCCTCAGTAGTCCAAAGCCATTGAAATAAGGTGTGTTCTTCATACATTAACAGAATTTAGGCCAGACTCTTTGTTAGTTTCTATTTTTTCCCAGATGTGACCAGCGAACATCAGACCTCCAGGAAAGTGGGAGGTGGCCAGCTCTTGCTGTTGACACAGCTATAATTTTGCTCAATTAATTAATTCTCACAGAAAATGACAGACCAACTTCCATGTGGGTGTAAAACAGTGGCTGTGAAGTGGGAAAGTCTCCTTCAAATAGAAAATCAGACTCACTCTCCACAAGACATTACATTTTCCCCTTCCTTCGTTAGGGTCAAGGTACTTACTTGAGCAGCTCTTGGCTCAGTGTGCTCCTCTTGGAGGAGCAAGCTGCACAGAGAGGAGAAGGGTGCTTGCCCCTTGCTCCTTGGGGCCAGCACCCTTCAAGGGTGACATCTGAAAATTTGCAGCAGTAGGATTTAACCTAGGGATATTTTTGCTGTTTATTCAATTTGCCTAGTGCAATACAGAGCTCATTCTGACAGAAAAAGATTAGCCCAGGGTATATGTAAAGATCACTTTGCAATTGGTTCCTGTGGCAGTTTATAGACTTTTTACTGATAGATTTCTGAACATCTCATTTTAGTCTGTTTTAATTCAAACTGAGGCGATGACATGGTAAGTGTTATGAGATGTTGGCAAGTTTTCATTTCTCTGCCTAAAACTAGAGTCTAGAAAGAGTGAAGGGTGTCTCAGATTTGTTGTGACTTGTATCATCACAGTGCAGTCACATCAATCAAATCATGTCCATTTATGAGAGGTCATTAACACAATTAAAAACAAAAAGTAAAATAAAAAGTACCCCAGAGATTATATATTTCTTGACCTCTTTATGATCTGTTGAATTAAGAAAATGAAATGAAAATTAAGCCTGGAAATTTATTCATTGTTTCAAATTACATTACCTGGTCTAGTCAAATATTTTTCCTAAAGAAATGCCATTGTTTTCATTTATTTTGTTATTGGAAGAATCTAACTATTTAGGATTGCTATGTTTTACAAAGGCTTCATCGTTTCTATTTGATATTTGATGGTATTGCAAATATAATAGATTTTCTTTATAACCATAACCTTGGGGACATTTTAAGTCCCAAGAGTCAGGGAGTTTCTGACTACAAAATCCCCAGACAAACTAAAATATATCTCAGATTTTGTTCCTAGGTTTGAGGCACAGTCAGACATGTAAGGCTTCTAGAAAGTAGTCAAATCATCTGTTCATGTTTTTTTAAGCTTGTTATTGGCAAAAACTTTTAAAAATATCTATACTTATACCAGCCTGTTTTAACTTTACTGTTTTGTTTGAAATAATCTAATTAGGAAATTATGGGTCTCAGTTTTCTACTGCATTGAAACTTTTAAGCTTCATGATTAACAAAACTGGCAATAGATAACAGTATAAGCAATCTTAAATATATTTTGGTTAAATGAGTTCAGGATACATTTTCCTGAAACAAATTTGGCCATGTTCAATATGGCATTACATGTAAACGTCTGGAAAAATTGCAGTGTTTTTCCAAGCAGGAGGCATGAGATTACTATAATCCATAGCCCCCACCACAGTATTAATTAGCGTGGCTCACTAACCAAGGACATAATATTTGTAAATGAAACTCTAGAAGGGCATCAATAAGGAACAGGATGTTGAAGCCAAATGGAAAACATGAACCAATAAAAAGGCTGAACTAGCTAGAAGTGCAAGCTCAGCCTTTGAAGTTAGTTCAAGTACTGCATGCTTTAATTTTGGTGTAATCTTATGATGAAGGTACAAACAAGAACTCAGAAACAGATTTTGTAACATTTGGCCCAATTGTAGATGAATCAGTTTGTTGATGGTTACCAACAATTGCACAGCCAGAGAAGCTGTGGTCTTTGTTAAATTAGATTGAATAATTGGCTTCAGTGGGAGTTTCGGGTGCAGAGCAAATGAAGTGTCACGGCCCTTGACTCTCGTAAGATTCCTCAGCAGAGGCTAAGCTTTTGCCTTCAGAACGACCTGAATATGGATTCAGAGAACGAGTCTCTCAAGGGTTCATCTACTGACTCCCCTGCTCCAGTATGGGTCTGAACATACTTAATCATTGCTGACAGATGTGCATACCTTATCTGTTTTTAGAGCCCCTCTGATGACAATAAGGATACCAAAAGCTCTCTGGGCAGCTTGTTTCCAATGCTTAACTGTTGTTTCAGAATACAGGCTTTGATTAGTACTACGTTACCTTGGCAAGCCCAACTAAACCTATGTATTTCTGTGTTTTGATTTTGTTTTGGTTTGTTAATTTTTAATATACTTTCATGTGGAACTCCAGTGACAAAGCTGTGCTTTTATGGTATTTCACTCAAAAAAAATTCACTGTTTTTGTCCTTTGGACAGCTTTCCGAAAGCCTACTATTGCCAGGTGCTGAGGATCTCTGGAGACATGAATTAGGAGAACGAGTTTCAATACATTCAGCAAATTACAGGATCAGGCAGCCAGGAGTTAAGGTGATCTTTGAACTGGAAAGTCATAACTAGAAAATGAATATAATCATACACGCTCTTTTTTTTTTTTTTTAGATCAAGCATTCACTTCATTAGATTGAAAATAGTAAATAATATATTGTAGTCTTTAGTGAATAGCCCAACACATGCTGTTAATTACTTTCCCATTTGGGAGAAAAAAACACAGCAAAAGTTAATTTTTTTCCTGCATATGCTTTCTAGAAGAAGAAGAACTCCCCAAAAATGCATTTATTTCTCTTTTCAGCAGCCATGCAGACCTCTGGAAGGAGCCATATTCCTCAACAAAGTGTAATGGCTCTGTTTCTCAAAAGCAAGTGAGTACAGACACAAACATTGTAATGAAATAAAGGCTTTAATTAAAAAAAAAAAAATAACACAGGGGAAAATGGTTGAAATATTGTATTAGAAAAAAAATTATATACACCTTAAGCTCTATGTGAAAAGAGTTTACCAAATAAGTTAATTTTATGCAATTGTTGGATATATATATATAGATATAGATATATATGCACGTGTGCATGCCTGTAAATGCATATGCACGTGCAAAACTGTAGGGCTGTAAATTATTCTAGAGATGTGATAGATTCAATCCCAGAAGTACCATTTTCAGGAATGAGTGGTATCCAAGACAATCAGTCTGGGGTTTACAAACCCAGTGCTGCACTGGATCTTGCAGCTGACATGAAATCCATTGAGTTGCCTGTGGCTGAAAACTACTAAGAATGCTATAAGCTTGTTGACTGTATTTACTGAGCTAGTCACCATGGCCTATTGCAGGAGACTTCCAAGGAAATCTCTGTATTTACTGACTTAGGTGGTGAATATTGCATAAGCTATTGTGTGCCTGTGCATTCCTTGGGTGTGATGCCATGGTCTTTCTCTTGCTTGCCATGTCATTTGTTTCATTTAACTGTCTCATTAATGGCAAAATTACTTTGCTTTTTTCAAAAATCCTATTCTGAGAAGCAAGTATTACTTTCTTTAACTTCTTGCCAACAAAAGATTTTCAAATGCATGTGGTGTACAGAGGAATCATACAAGATTGTTTGAGAGTAAAAAGAAATATCTAAAATTAAAAGCACAAATCCACTTACTACATTCCCATTTTTCCTTTGACATGAAATGGAATCTTAACATGAGAAATGCACACAGTTCATCAGCATAGTCTGAGCAAATACATAATTAACATGTGGAATAAGCAAAGCTGTTGTCAACGCTTTCACATATGTTACCACAAAACTAAAATATTTTAATTAGCAGAGACATAGAGGAAAATCCAAGTAAATACAGCCTGACATAAAATCAGATTGACTCTATGAGTATTAAAAATAAGTGAATTTCAGCTCTACCTTAACTACCCTTTCCATACTAGAACAACTTAGTGGATCCTGCATAATTCAAATCTGCTCCAGTGCTCTAATAAATAATTCTTTGGCAGAGAAGCCTCCACTGTGGCCATTGTGAAAATGCTTTACTAAATCGTTGGTAGAAATAAAAACATAAGTTCAATAGCAGGTAGGTAGAAAGTGTGGACTTTGGTGTTTTGTAATAATCCAGTTTGCTGGACTGACAAAACCATTTTTGAAGGCTATGTTATAAGAGAAGAAAAGAAAACTATGTAGCAGTACCATGTGGCTTCTGATTTGGGAACTAAAATTTAGCCTATTAGACATGGACCTGTTCCAAAGTGCACATTCAGACAATCATGCATGAAGGAGTTAGAAACACAGATGTGAATTATAACTCTCTGAAATCCTGGAAGTGCTCAAAAATAGGTGGGTTTGAACTGTAAATACAGATTCAGATCTAAAATTTTTGTTCAAACCTGTCTTCTAATATTTTTACAGCAACTAGTGAATATATGAAAACCAATAATGTTCCATAAGCTTAAAAAAAATATCAATTAACCCCATCTTAGCTGTATTCAGACATGATGCACAATGGCTGGCTAAAAACATTTCTATAAGAAGTTAGTAAAGAAAATCACCAGTTGAATGTAATGGGACAGTTTAAATAGGTCAAATTTAAGTCAAATTACTGCAGCTCCACTAGGCACATACAGCTTCATAGTCATCAGTTTGACCTAGCATTTAACTTTAGAAATATAAATAATATAAGGGTTTTATTTTCCAAGTTTGGGACAGAACTTTGAAACATCCATTCTCTCTTCAGTCCTTTTTACACACACATGCTAAAGTCAACATTTTTGACTAGAGCGATGGTGTTGGTTGGGACTGGGGCTGGTTATTTCACAAGCACACAAGAGGTAGAGGATGGAAAATGTACCTGTAACACTGTATTGGGCTAAAGGCATGGAAGGAGCAATGAAGGAGTACCTGACATTTTTCAGGGCTCTCAACACCAGCAAACTGAGGGTGATGCAAATATCCAGTTAATTGATGCTTTTATCTGTAGATTTCATTACTGCAGGTTTCTCTTCTTTTAAGTCAAACATATTTGCAAAGTGAATCACAATGGTTCTTCTCATGCAAATGATGTGGAAGGTGTGGCACAAATCAGTCTGGCCTAGGCCACCCCATACTGTATAGCAAGAGAAACTGGGTCTGCTCCACCAGGTCTACTACTGTATCTGCAAAACACCTCTCCCCATTGCTGATCACTATGTCTGATGACTAAAGACTAGCTTTTCACACCTTGAAGAAATCAAATGAACCCACAGTTTGTGGTCTAAGACAGTTCCCCATGAACAGGAGTTTAAGAAACAGTAATTAAAAAGGGATCATGAGGAGTACAAAGGCAATGGCAGAGCAGCATTGCACAGACCCAAAGGCCTCTTTTAAATGGCCTGATCATGGCTACTACCACTCTTGTAAAGTGACAGAAGCGTGCGCCTTAGCAACATAACGCAGCCCTGTGTAGTTTCAGGAATTCATCTCATGATCTGATATTTTGTGTCATGCAGCAGCAGAAGAGAAGTCAAAGCAAAATGTATAAAGCCCCTTCTGAAGCACATAATCACAGCTTGTGTTCATATCAAAAGTATTTGAATGAGCAATTTCAGGACTGCACTCTCAAAAATTAAAAATTGCTTTAATAAATATGTCAGGTCTGATAAGAAAAAAGTGAAATACACAGTAATAGCATCTTAATGTAAATATTTATTAATTTAAATTACATCTTGAAAAAATCCAAAATAATCCTTCTACTATTATAGTCCGTTAATTGGGACTAAACATCAAAAGTAAGCCTCAATGATTATGATCTTATGAATGAGCATATTTTAACACCACTAGTGCATAAATCTATCCAGAAGTTTTCTAAGTTTGCAAGTTTCTGAAAGAGAGAATTGGTTTTATTGTCTGTAACAGCAAACTTCTCAGACAATTGTTGTTCTGCTATACAGACTTCTGAATGTCACAAAGTACAAGTACTTAAAATAAACAAGGAATACATTTCAATTGTCTGAAGGGAGAGGTGCTAGGGTTGTTGAGAAAAATGCTTCTAGCTCTTTAAAACTGCTGAGCTGACACAGGCGGTAAATCAGCAACCTGAGAGAGAATAGATCTCAAGAGCAAGACAAAAAGACAATAGCAGTACAAGTGTTCTGGAGTTATACAGTATCACCATTCAGAGTAATAATATTTAGTCAGTTTGCAGACTCTCTGCTGGAACTGGTCTCATGAGATGAGACTTAAACCACTATTCCATTTCTGGTGTATCACCAAATAGCAATTCTAGGGTATCTGCCATTGCATTAGATTAGATCCAGCAGCCCAGAAATTTAAGGGTCCCTATCTCTTAATGTATTCGCTGTTCAATTGCCCAATATTTCTTTAAAATTGACATGAAAATAATGATATGACATGTAGTTCTAGAATTACTAATACATGTGATCCCTCTCTGTTGCATACTGAAGACATGGCCTTGGCACTAAACCAGTGCATGTGTGTGTACATACACCCATATGTTTCAGCTACCACAGAGACAGCAAACTAGATTGAGAGTAAAATTCATTTACAGCACTTTGAGTGAATAGGGCCATTTTGAAAAAATGGATTCACTAATTGAGTACTTGAAGTACTTCTTTTTAAGTTTCATTAAAATGTATGCTATTAATGATCATAACTATCTGCGACAGTAGTTTTTTGCATGTGGTATATTTGCTGGAAAATTTTTGTCAACTATTTGGCAAGGCTGGAGTACTCACAAGGAGTTTTATCATTTGTAACAAATAGCTGAATAACATTTTTAATTTTTTAAGTAATCCAAGTGTTAATCATCTCAGAACTACAAGCATAAGATAAGCAATGTCTACAAATTATTTAACTGCCTCAAAATTCCATGAAGGCAAGAATACAGCAACACATAAACAGCCTGCTATGCTCCAGCATTTGGTTGCGTGCACTGCACTGACCACAGCCATAGAAGGTGGCCTTCCATGTGCTTTTTAGGGTGACATACATCACGGCATTTATGGCACTTTATGATTCTTCTCTGTCTTTCACATTAATGAGTGGTAGGCCACACAGTACCACATGTTCTTTGCTCACTACAAGATGCTGCATTCCAGCCTCCTAAGATGTATTGAACAATAAAGTTTACTGCATTTGTGAAATTTGGGAAAATATAAAAACCAGGGAAAGTATTTTGTGTTTTACTCCTTTGTAGTTTCCACCAAAACCAGGTATTTTTCAGGTAACTCAAACACAGAACAAGTGCAGACAAGCATGACACAAACTCTGAAACATGGGCAAAGCAGGAACTGAACCAATGATTCCCTTGCTCCTTCTATGAGAATATATGAGCAGGGCAACTACATCCATAAAATAAAGTGTATTTCTTCTCTGCTAGCCTGTCTGAAGCAACTCCCAATGGAAATCTCTTACAATTCTTGGTCACTCTTGTGTCAAGACTGAAGACTATTATTTGTCCTTAGCTGCCAAACTCCACACTGAGGAGGAAACCACTCTTGGATGGTACTCAGAAGCATGATCTGGGAGCTTCCACTGAAGAACCTGTACTTCTGACAAAGGAGACAGGGCTGGTTCATGCTCCTTGTCCAAGGGGTCAGGACAAGTAGCAGGAGACAGTCCCATCCCTAACTCAGGGCTGATCTGTGGGAACTGAGTTTGCTAGAGTTTGCTGATCAGCCTTTCTTTTACATGCGTTACACACATGTGGGGAAGAATGGAGCCAACAGCTTTGTGGCTGGGGACTGTTTTTTAAAGTGGTCTGAAGAATGTGGAGAGGTCTACTATCATCATGTCTCATGCCTAGTAGTTAATTCTCCCCCCACCCCCTCTTAATTTCTCAATTAATCCTTGGTCCTTAGTACCCACATCAACTGTGTCCC